ATTATTATAAAACTGACAGTGGTGGTTAGTTTTTGGCAAAGGAGGGATGACTGCGGCTTTATTTTGTCGACATAAGAAATGTCCAAAACCATAGAGAATTTTTGTAAGAGTTTATTTGTGCCAAACTGACAACATTGCCGGGAAGCAAGATCTCACAGGCTCAGGAGAATGACAGTTTCGCAGTTTCTTTTACACATCTGGAATTAAGGAGGGAATGTAAGAAAGAGTACATGAAAGTGGGAGAAAGCAAGGCAGAGAAATCTCTATGATCGGATTACAGGACAGTTAACAGGATTACGTACTCTTTTAAGGGGTGTTATGCTTCCAAGGTGTCTAAAAAAGGGGCATTTCAAAGATGTGTTAACCTAGATATACAAAAACAATGGACGAGGCTTGCTTAAGGCAAAATAACCTTTCATTTGGGAATTTATAGGTTTGAGGTGTGACCACCCACCATTACTCGCTCAGTTAGCAGACCACCCTGTGACATCAGATTTGGTTAGATTTATTACTGAGTCCCTTTTTCGTCCACAATTTCTTGTTCTGGATGGTAGTTACAAGAACAATCACCTATAATAATATAGTAAGCTATTTAGAAGAAGCAAATTGGATTGCCTGAAATATAAATCTTGAGTGGAGTGGCACATGGGCCTGCTGCTTCCTGAACCTATTCTCTGGTCTTTTCATTCTTTATTTATGCTACTCAATATCCATTTAATAAAACTCCATCAGAATCAGTTTTGTTGCTTGCAACCAAAGAACGCTAATTGATGCAAGTGGCCTTGGCAAGTTCCATGAGTGATGAGGTGTGTATAGATAACTTTTTTTTGAGAAATTTTGCTGTAATGAGAAATGGAGTAGTAGCTTGAAAGGTATTTGGGTCAAAGGATTTTTTTTTAATGATGTAAGATATCACAGCATGTTTGTATACTGATGGGAAGAATTGATAATGTAGGACAAAGCAGAGGACAAAGCAGAGGACAAATGCTGACACAAACTTTTTAAGTAGGAGAAAAGGAGTATTATCCATTGCAAAAGTGAGAGGACTAGTCTTATGTAGGCACAACTTTATTCATCCAGATCAACAAGAGAGAAGGAGGACAATGTGGAAAAAGATATAGGTAGATTAGTAACTTGTTGATGGAAGTTATTTTCTGGAAGCATCTATTAACTAAGAAGAAAGGACATCATTGAGAGTGAGGAGAGACAAGAGGTATTGGAAGTTTAGGGAAGGGAAGATGATGTTGTTGCAGGAAACGATACCTGACGGAGGAATTCAGACGCTCAGACAACTTTGTCAGAGGAAAGAGAATTTAATGCCGGTGGAGAGCGTGGGGCATTCAACAGACCCAAAGCACGATCTCCCCTTGGTTAGATTTCTTACAGCTTATATACCCTCGCAGTGTCCATGCCAGGGGTGCATGATTCCTTTGTCTCAGGTTTTACATGTCCCTCCTTACTCAGAGTAGGTTGGAGGAGCTTTGGGTGGGAGGCTGCAGGGGAAGAATTTCCAGACCCTTGGTCTTACAGGTCGTTTGTTTTGTAGAGTCTGAGACCTTGGTGTTATCAGCACCTTTATTGGATTCTTGAACAAAAAGACGGGACTCCTAGCTTACACACAGGGAGCAGCATTCATTGATGTCATGCCCACTCAGCTGGTTCCTTATCCAAAGGCTGAGCTCTAACACAACAAACAGTTCCCCACAGTCTTGACATTCATACACAAATACAGAGATAGGGAAGGTGCTGGAGAATCCTTGAGGTAGGGGATGCAGCTGTGGAAAACATGTTAACTGAAGAGCACAGGGCAGAATGGAGGAAGAGAAAGCAGTTTTAACCAGCTGAGTCAGTTATTTCTGCAGGCCCTTTGCTTTGTATCTATTTTTACTTTCAGATGCCTCCTCTCCTCTTTCAATATGAATAGTGCGCAGACTGAAATTTGGGAAAAATAATAGGGTGGAGAGGGCAAGCCTCAGAGTTCACTTGAGCTTTTATGAATTTGGAGTGACTGTAGGCATCATAATTGTGTTGAGCTGCTAAGCAGCAGGTATAGAATAGGCTAAGAAGTGGATTTAATAGGGATTTGGGTTCTGCCAGTTATATCTAGCAAAGAGAGAAGAAAGGGGCTAGGGAGCTGAGAAGAAGTCAAGAAATTGCGAAGCCAAAGCATCGGAAAAGTCACCGACATGGATTTTGAAATTACCAAAAATCATCCTAGGAGTAATGTTGGAGAGACAGGGAATTACGTGCTAACTCTTCTCATAATGAGGTGCAGTAACCCGGAGCTCTTACACATGACCTCCACAAGAAAGAGTTATGGGTGATAGCATAAGCTTCAAAGTTGCTGGTGGTTTTACTAAGGCAATGAGTGTCAGGGGTGGCAATGAGAAATAAGTAGGATACTCAGCCCATTTCTAGGCCTATTGGACATGGGGTGTGGGACAGAACAATTATCTATTCAGGGGGCTGTGGAAGGAAGCTGTATGCAGATTTCTTATAGCAAGATGAAAGGAACATTCAACATTTGAGGAAAGAGATTTTAGTAATAATAGAGACTCAGAAATTAGTTGACTTGTTTAGGGTCGCTGAGGATGGAACCCAGTGCTTTTCCTCCTACACCGAGCCACAGTCCACAATCTTCCTTCCATCCATGGTTTTTACCTAACTTAATAAGTCTATACGAGTAAACCTAAACATCAGAAAGTGCGAAGCTGCAGGACTTAAGCTACCGCTTGAGTGTACGCATGCGCAAAAAGAGTCTGCTGACCACGCAATGCGCTCTGGGTCTTGCAGTCTTTCGGCTGGGCATCGCGGGAAGGGACTAAGAGAAGGGCGCATTGCCTGGCGGAAGACATTGTCGGCCGTGGGAGTCCCGCCTCCTCCGGAAGCCAGGCGGCGCGCGCGTCCCGCTCTGCCGGAAGCGCGGGAGTCTCGGTTTGTGGTAACTTAGGTCGCTGTACTGTACTGCCATTAGAGGCTCCACTTCCCTGAAACTTTACAGCCACTTGAAGCGAAATGGCTCTGGGCTTGAGAGGAGTAGGCAGTGGCAATGCAAGGGTCGTCTCGACCTTAGGCTGCCCGTAGGGAAGGAGCCTGAGGACTCTCTGAGAGGTTTGGGCCTGTCCCTTTTCCCTTTGTAGTGACACTGCTTACTGCGAAGATGAGTTTGGCCTGGGTCACCTCTTTCGAGAAGGAGCATCTCTGGATGTATCTGCAGGCGCTCGGCTTCGAGCCAGGCCCGGCGACCACTGCTTGCGGAAAGATCGTGTCGCACACGCACCTCGGAGTGTAAGGAAGCTGGGGCTGGCCGGGTGGGGGAGTCTGAGCCTGGACGCGCCGGGGGACCCGCCCTTTCGCGGTCCTCGCAGGTTGATGAATCAAGAAACCGAGCGGTTACCGGGTGCCAGGCTACAAAGCCTCTGCTCCCAGGGGCTGCCAACCTGGTGACAGAGACTATCAATTACAGAACTGTGCTGGGAGCGCTTTGTAGGGGAGTAAAGTTTGCAGTTGTCTCCAAACTAGACAGGCAGCTTAATCCTGCTTTGGTGGCAAAGCTGCGTGGTATGTGAAATCGCGGGAAGAATGGCGAATTGGTAGTGGAAGGACGTGAGAACAGTATGTGCAAACGCCTTTAGGACTCAAGGGAGCCCTTCAAGTGGTTGCTCTTTATAATTTTTACTTTTTAAATCAGCAAACTAAGGCGTGCCAAGTTAGCAAAAAACAGAGAAGGGTAGTAAGATGAAAAGTAAAATCCTCTTCCCTGCTTTGCCACCAGTGTTAAGGTTATGATCATAAATCTAAGTATTTTTGTTTATATTTCTATGTCTTAACTTACCAACTTTAGACGATATCTAAGTTTCCTACAATAGGCCAAGGGAAATTTGGGATACATAGACTTATGTCCTGCTCTCAATCTTCTTGACTTATTTCAGTTCTAGTACCAGTGTTTTAATATGTGCTTAGACTTCTGTCTTGATGTATCAATCTCAAAGGTGTCTCTTGATTCCCCACTGTGTAATTTCACAATGAAGGTAGCTATTATTTATAAAATAACTAATTAGCTCACCTACACTTCCCTACCCTCTGCTTTCTCTTCTTGACTGTTCTCAGCTTTGTAATTACCGATTTACTGTCAAAGTTTAGAGCTCTAATTAAGTTTTATTTGGTAACTCTGTTTAGAAGTTACTACTGTTTACATGTAGAAGTGCTTTGTCTAGAAGTCTATTCTAAAAATTGACAACCGGTGGGTAGCATTTATCAAGTTATGATTATGTATTAATAAATACTCCATTTATCTCACATGAGTTAATGACCCATAGCACCGTCTCATTTTCTTTGTACTGGCAGGGAAGCTTAAAGCTTCTCCAGGCCTCTACTGAGAATGGTTCCCATTGTCACTGCATCCTTTTCTCTAGTGTTTTAGGCGTCATATTTTGCTCTGTTCTGGTTTATCCAGTTGCAGTCTGCTTTCTGCCTTTGAAAATTAGTTAAAATCTGTCAAGTTCCAGTTCAGTGATGGCAGTTCCCCCCCTCCCCCAACACTTACTGATTTTTTTTTTGTCCCCTGTGTCTTTAGAATCATTTCAGTGGGTTATTGGGAGGCATCTGCCATTTTGAAACAAATGTCCCCTTTGCTTTAAAAATGCAACAAATTTATTTAAATATTTTTTCTTTTTCATTTATAGTCATATTTGGTAAATTCTTTTTGGTGTGCAGTTCTATGAGTTTCTAGTTTCTGTGAGCATGTGTTCTGAGTGAACACAATAAACATAAACTTTCACCTTATAGAATTTTAGTCTACTGAGTGAACAAATATCTTCAACAAATATCTTATTAAAAATTAAAATAAGTGTCTAAGAAAATAGAACAGAATACTGTGTGAAAAAATAAGTTTTTGAGAGGATAAGGAGGTAAGAACTTCATTTGTATTTGATGAGGAATAGAAACATTCCAAGGACTGTTGTTTGACATATGGATAAGCATGGGAACTTTTTTTTTAATTAAAATTTTTGTGTGAATTTAAAAAACTTATTTGTAATTATTGTTGACATACAGTGTTATAGTTTTAGGTGTACAACAGTAATTCAACATTTATATACCTTACAAAGTGATCACAATAAGTCTAGATAACTGTCTGTCACTGTAAATTGTTTTACCGGGGGTCCCCAACCCTGGGGCCTCGGACCAGTACCGGTGCATGGCCTGTTAGGAACTGGGCAGCTGGAGTGAGTGGTGGGCAAGCAAGTGAAGCTTCATCTGTATTTGCAGCCGCTGCCCCACACTGGCATCACCGCTTCTGTTCTACCTCAGATCATCCGGCATTAGATTTTCATAGGAGCACCGGTCTCTGGTGCCACAAAGGTTGGGGGCAACTAATTATAACATGAGAGATTTAATGTTAACTCTTTTTTTTTTCATCTCAAGATAATAGCTTTATATTCACAGAAGGAATACTCACATCTATTTGTCACGCATTCCAGTGACTCACAGCCCCTTTTTTAATTGCCCAACTCCTAAACCCAGTTTCTTTTTAGGGACTGAAAACAAGGAGTCACCCGAGTGAGATAGCCCTTCCAATCATTGTTGAATTAAACATGAAAATATCTCATCCCTATTCTAAATGTTAAAAATGTTTTATTATAGCAGAGTGAGAATATTCTTAGATATATTCTATTACGTTCTAATGAGTTTTTGTTTTTCTCTGTATTATAATGTCTTTACTTTCTTCTGGAACCTTTCCTTTACAGTTATTTGGTTTTGTTGCTTTTAACTTCTTTTGATACTCCATTTGCACCCATGCAAATGCCTTTTTTTTCTTTTTCCTTTTTTTTTTTTTGCAAATGACCTTTTTGTATTAGGGTAATGGAGGAGCACACATAATTTTTTATATGATAACTTTGAAAGGTTCTTTTTTTTCCTTCTTGAGTGTAAAGATTAACTTCTTTGGGGATTTTTGTTCCATTTTTATTGTCTTCTTGCTTATCCAGAGACCTTACATTGCTTTTATTTATTTTCCATGCTACTTCTTACAATTCACCGCCAGGACTCAATTCACTGCCAGAACTTTGAAAAATGGTGGCTATACCTTCATGTCAAGTTTGACTTGTTTTGCCTTGGAAATTGCCAAAGTCAAAGTTAAAATTTTGCAGGTGTGCCATGCAGCAGAGTGTAGTGTCTTAGGTGGTTCCTCTCTGTCTGCAAGTTGCTGCCCTAGGTGAAGTTTAGAAAACTCTTCTTCCTATTCCTGGCAGTACCCAAAACCTGAATTTCCTACTAGACAGCTGCACAGTCCCAGGGACTGTACAGGAATATGAGGAGATGACACAAAGAGAAGTATAGAGCAGTGACTGGCCTTGGAGGCTGCCATGCCGCCTTCATGTTAACTCTTGATTCTTTGTAGCTCTGTGACATTTCCTACAAGGTTTAGGTTTTTTTTTGTTTTTTATATATTGTCTATTTTTAATGTTTTGTCTTGATTACTTTGGGAAATTAGCACAACAAAAACTCCAAGGGACTTGCTAGGATTACATCATTAAGGATGGTTCTAAGAATAAAATGTAATGGTAAAGACCCTGGACTCTGGGTCAGATGACATATTTTAGATCACTGCTCTTATACTTCCTGGTTATGTGATTTTGGGCAAATTAACCTCTTTAAATTTTAAATTTGCTCATCTGTGTAATAAGGTTAATCAAACTGCTTTCTGCTCTCATTAGGATTAAATAAAGTAATCCATGTTAAAGCAGCTAGCACAGTACTGAACCTCATATAATTGTGGAAATTAGATGAGTTACTGTCTGTAAAAGGCTTATTTAATACCTGACACAAATTCAATGAATATTAGCTATTTTTACTGTTATTCAGTAAACGTTGGTTGGTATCATCATATCATAGACCATGGTTTTTTCCACCTAATTAGCCTTTTCTTTTTGTAGAACATTCTCATTGCAATAAAGCAAGTTCTATCAGTTTTCTTTTATTTGATCTCTATTTTCAGAATTAGAAAATAAAAGCTTGTATGTTTTTTTAATTGGTTATAAAAATGTACATGAATGAGAAAATGGATTTGCCTCAACCACTTGAAGTGAATGAAAAATATTAGCGTCAAACTCTTATACAGCTTTTGATGATATTTAGTTTTATTAACCATTTTCTTTTTATTTTTCCTGCTTCTATTTC